GGGGGGGGGGGGTGCGCACCCCCTGCACCTTCTCCTAGATCCGCCCCTGAAACACTTGACTTTCAAACCAGTGCAACAGTAACAACAGTAGAGTCCAGGGCTCTTTTAACCGTACAAAAAGTAGTCCAAAAAGCGCCTTTATATTGTACCAAGCTAATATGCTACAGAAGAGGTTAGTAAACCCCTTTTTAAACTGGGTACTCAAAACGGGAGTATCAAATCTTCGCGGGTCGCGGGTGGATAGTGCAGGTCCCGGGTAGACGGCGTGGTTCGCGGGTAAATGGCATGGGTCACGGATCGACATTACTTGCAAAAAATCTCGGACGCTTAATTTTCGGACTTAATTTTTATCTCATTTCGGACAAATCTCGGAAAAAATTTCGGACACTTCTGAAACACAGCTAATGTAAATTTACGCCTACAAAACACGTTTTAGACTGAAACAACATCTGTGAAAATGATAGTTTTACTGCACCCTCAAGGTTTTAATGATACACCGACGGGAAAATAAGAAAAATTCTATCAAGCCTTTACGTACCTCAGGGAGTGTCTCAACTAGAGTTCGCAACATAAAGGAAACAAAGACTCGAGTATTAGTTTTAGAGCTACTTAAAAGTTTTATACTGTACTGTAAATATTTCGGACGCTTAAAAATTCCGGACGGTGTTATTTTCAATGTGTTATTTTCGGACGGTGACACTTTTTTGTCCGAAATTTCAATCGTCCGGATTTGTTTTTTGCAAGTAATGTAGTTCTACTTACAGAGATCGATTGAAGAAGGTCCATAGTGTCCCGTCTGAAATGGCCGTCAAACATGGTGTCGGCTTCATCGATCACCAAGTAAGACAAATCCGAGAAGAATAAACGAGCTGAAGTAAAAAGCAATTTGCCATTTATTACAATATATCACAATAATATTTAACGAAAAACAAGAAATAAAATTATAACCCATGTAGATGCTACACAAAGAGGTCTATAACCCCTTATGAAAAGTGATCGCCGAGCTATATAAATGTATTAGTAAAAATAAGAATTCAAAGTATATAGATTACACTAATCGCTGTTAGGTATCTTAAGTTCTAAAAGACAAAATAAAGAATTTAAAAAAACCTAATTCGTCATCAGACACACTGTCCAAATACATATAAAATAAGAGTTCAAAAGCAACTTTAAATATTTCAATTTTTCTGGGAGACGGTTTATGCGTAGAAAAATGACAAGAGATGGATTAAACCTGGGCAGATAAACTTTGTAAGAACTTCAAAAGGTTCCATACCTTTTTCGCAGAATTGAAGCAATGTCCCTGGTGTACCAACCACTAGATCAACTGGGGACTGAAGATCTACCTTCATAAATTTCTACAATAAAAAAAATTCAAAGAAAAAAACTCAAACACACTGATTTTGTCTCTTATACTGCAAGCAATACAAGACTCAAAATTAACTGAAAAAATAATTTAAAAGTTATAAGTTTCAAAACCATATGTCATATAAATTACTAATTTTACTCAGCCTTGCAATTAGCTATGTACATCCAGAGTTGGTATAATTATAACTCCCTTACCTTCTTTCGTCCTCCAATGATCCCGACTGATTTGAAACGTGCATGATGACTCAATGACTTAGCAACTTCCTGCAGAATACAACATGGTAAGACAACTGTACAAGTCATGTTAATAGAGCAATGGCAACACTCACCCCAGTGGCTGAATTTGCACATATTGATGCACAAGGCAAAAAAAAGAATGCACTACACTACAGTAAACAGAACCCTTGATGATAAAGTGTCTTTAAAGCAAAATGCTTTTTATCGAGTTGCTGGGAAGTAGTATCTCTTTCTAATAGGGAGCAGGGATGGCACAGTGGTGAGAGCGATCACCTCCCACCAATGTGGCCCAGATTCAATTCTGGCCCGGTGTCACATGTGGGTTGAGTTTGTTGTTGGTTTTTGCCTTGCTCCGAGGGTTTTTCTCCAGGTTTTTCGGTTTTCCTTCTGCAAAAACCAACATCCCCAAATTCCAATTCAACCAGGATAGAGGACCCACAGAAAACCAGCTTAAAGGCTTATGTGTCTTCCTCTCTAAATATTGTAACTTTTTAAAATTCTTAAATGCCATTCACTTGCCATTTCACTTGTCAACCAGGTAAATTTACTATAATTTTCTGATCATGTGATGTTCTCTTGACAATTCATACTTTCTCTACAGTTATCTTAAGCTTTTTCATTTATTTCCAAGTGAACATTTTTGAATCTTAACAAAATAATTCGTAAGGGTTATGTCACATGGTCTGAAATGAAATAAAGATAAAATGGTCTTCTACAATTTTGCTTGTTTCTTTTTCCCCGTAATTTTTGCCTTAAGCTAAATATTAATTTGACATCTTGTTGGCTTTCAATCAATTACATACATATAACTCCAACCTTTTCAATCACTTTACCAGGTATACTGTATGTAACATTTTTTTTCTTTCTAAGTTGAGATATCACTTACCAAGACCTGCACAGCGAGTTCCCTGCATGGTACAACAATACAAGCTCTTGGTCTTTTGAGGCGCGTTATCACACCATGTGTTCTTTCGTCCTCTCTTAGATGATGTACCACTGGTGCCAAATATGCAAGAGTTTTCCCAGTTCCTGTGATCACATTGCAAAATAAATATTATATGAGACTAGTAGAACTACTAGCAACTACTAGAGGAGGCGCGGTGGCCTCATGGTTAATGTGCATGATTCTGGATCAAGCAGTCCAGGTTCGAGCCCTGGCCAGAGACATTGTGTTGTGTTCTTGGGCAACACACGTTACTCTCACAGTGCCTCAATCCATCCAGGTGCAAATAGGTAGTGGCAAATTTAATGCTGGGGCGTAACCCTATGAAGGACTAGCACCCCATTAAGGAGAGAGTACAAATACTACCGGTACTAGTTGCTCTGCTGTACTGAAAATGGAGATAAGAGCCAGCCTGATGGGCCACTTGGCTCATATGTAGACTTTACCTTTTAATACTAGGAAATTTGCAACCCATCATTTCAGTGTTCTTAGGTCCTAATTGTTTCACATATGGAAGGAGCACAGTCACAATAATATGACCACTGTCCCAGGCATGTAACAGATGCAGAATATTTTTATCTAAATGATCACCATGCTTTTCAAAATTCTGTCCAATGCTTAAAAAAAAAATTACACATGCAATTATTGCATATGATAAAATGTTTGTATTTAATAATAATAATTTATGACAAATTATTATAATTTATGACAAATTATTATAATTTATGACAAATTATAATAATTTATCATAATTTCTAGTTTGTTAAGTAACATAACTCTCGTTCTATAAAAGCTAAGGAATCCAAAACATCCTGTCAGATACATAAGTTCTAGATAGACTTCAGGATGCATTAATTGGATACCTACGATATGACAGATCTTAATGGACATTAATTTTAGGCAATTCATATTGTATTGTTTACTTCAAAACTGAAAAAACAGTATATGGGGTTCGACATTATTTAAATGAGCTTAAGTCAAAATGCAAGAAAGAAAACAACCGATTTTGAGCAAAATAAATTTCAGATTCTAAAAGTCAACACAAATAGCACTTCATTTTAACTGACCTGTTTGCGCTGCACAGAGGACATGTTCTCTTTTTAGTATTGGTGGAATTGTCACCATCTGTTAGGAAAATTACACATTCTATAAATCCTCTGTTGATGATCATGTGTAGATGTATTCAAGACAACCATTTCTCTTAGTAGTATGTGCACAAGCATAAAGCATGACTTAAATTGGATTACAGAATGACTGGCATTAGTGCAATACACACCTGAATGACGGTGGGTTTAGTTACTTTAATATTGTACAAAGCCTTCAGAACATCCTCTCTTAATCCAAGGGCACTAAATGATGACACTTGTGACTTAAAATCAATATCCTTTTCTGGTGTGAATGCAGGATTCTAAATGAACAGAAATTAATAAAAAAGTAATTACAATATTTAGAGAGGAAGCCACATCAGCCCTAACTGGTTCAACCTCGTTCCCAGGGTCTCTCATCTTACCGCCCCCTGGAGTGAGTGAAGAGAGACCCTGGTTGGGTCTGGTCA